AGTCTCTCGTCTTCACTCGAGACTAGTTGATAGGCCTTGTGACAAGGCCCTTGTCATCAGAGTATTTTATAAGGATTAAAAACATATTTTTGAGTGCGCAGAACTAATTAGAAATTTCTGTGTGTTCCGTGTGGAATGAAAAAACTTGGGTATATTTCGCTACTCTAATAATGTGATGTGCCACTCTTATAACACAAGTATTGTCCCTTATCTATTTGTCCCCATTATTGCTTAGCTCACACAATTAGCTGTAGCAGGGTTCACTGTAATTCTCCGATCCCCACTCGTGGCTCCGCCGCGAGCAGGAAGGAAACCGCCTGCTCCGCCAGCAAGCCACGGAACCACCGATATGCTAAAGGCCAAGGACCTCGGTCCGAGGTAGCGTCATTAGCAATACTGCGTCCAAACTCTTGAAAAGGTATCACCCAAATATCATCTCCCACTATACTCAGAAAATTTTGAGATACCATGACGCAAGGTCGATGGTAGGGTGGAGTATTGTTGTGGGGAGTGCTTGGAGCATGAAGCCTCCGGCAAATGGGCAGCTTGGAGGACTTGTGATGCATCGAGGTTCAAGAAATCTGATCTGACCGATCATGAGAAGACCATCCAGAATGGCAAGCATAAGTTCAAGCAGCTCCCTGTACACGTAGCCTTCAAGCAGATCATTGCGAAAAATGCGGCTACTGAGGCTAGTCGCATGGCCGAAGAACTCCTCCTTGTTAATCCCTTGGCCGACCCAGCACTCACTTTGGCTATTGAAGAGGTCGCGATCCTCAAATCCGAAGCTTTCTTACAATGGGCTGAGAAACATGTGCTCAAGGTCACCAAGCACTGGCGCTCTGTTAATTATGGTTGGCAATTCTTCAATTATTCATCCAAGCGGCACATTCTATACAGTTGGCAGATATTAAGGTCTGGCTTAATTGCCATAAATTTGACATAATAGTAGACGAATCAACCGATATCTCGGTCACCAAACAAATCATTCTCTACATGAAATCGAGAGGTCAGGCACGATATGTCGGTCTCCGAGATATGCACGGTGATGGATCAGGTGGAGCTATAAAGAATGCTGCTGTGGGCTTGCTAGAATCTTTGCAGTTGCCGAAGGAGGATCTTCTCTCGGTCACATCGGATGGGGCATCAGCTATAGTGGGAGCTAAGTCTGGTGCGGGTGTCTTCCTGGAAAACTGGTGCGGAGGCCCTTTGAAAAAAGAGCAGTGTATAGCGCATAGGGTAAACCTCGCCACGGGCGACGTATTCGACGCCAAGACCTGTACAGATGGTGACGTCCTACGTGTAGCAGCAGACGTGGAAGCTTGCGTAAGGAACAGCTATCTCTTTTTCAACAGATCAACTTCAAATCGCGAGGAGCTGATTAATATTTCCAAACAGTACGAGCAATTGCATATGACGAGATCGTGGTGGCTCTCTCGATATTCGGCCATGAGGTCTCTGTGGCTTGGAAGACACGCAGTCCTGGA